TGAGATCTCTCCAGAGAAGCTGGAGGTGGAAGAGTGCCCCGATGTGGTCCCGGGTAGAATCTCTGAAAGGCTTTGAAACACACACGCACGCACGCACGCGCTCTCTCTCTCTTTCAGACATGAAGGACTATTTCCATGTTTGCCCGTGGAGATAACAAAACCCCGAGCAACCACCTTAGTAAGAGGCGGCCTTAAAGAAGTTGAGTGATCAAATCTGGCCTGGGCCAAAGTGTCCTGCTCAGAGCCAGCACTGCTACTACCTGTCCCCCCCCCCCAAAAAAAAAACAACTCACTGCCCTCAACTTCATTCTGATCCCTAGTGACCCTATAGGACAGGTTAGAACTGCCCTTCCCTGGGGGTTTCTGAGCTGTAACTCTCTCTCTCTCTCTCTCTCTCAGATGTAACTCTTTATGGGAGTAGACAACCTCAGCTTTCTCCCTAGGAGCGGCTGATGATCCCCAATTACTGACCTTGTGGTGAAGCAGCCCAAAGGGGAGCCCCCTGCATCACCAGGGCTCCCAACACTGCTTAGGACTAGATTTTTTTCTTCAAGTTACTGAAGTCCCTACACTTCCTGACACGTTGTCCATCTAGACACTTTTCTTCCGCCATCCCTCAGCCTGCCGTTCGGGGGTGGCTTGCGTGTTGCCACGATGCTGACAGCTAAGCCACCAGTAACTCAAGGACCAGCAGTGTCGGCCGTGAAGGGCAGGTTTCGACCGAGCTTCCAGACTGAGAAAGAGTAGGCAGAAAGGGCTGCAGATCTAGTTCTGAACATTAATACTGCCCGATATTGTGCTGAGCACCCTTGTTTAGAAGGTACTTTAAATACGGTGGGGCACACAGTGATCCGGAAGACGGCGCAGGTCCTTCTTCCATCTGTTGTTCACTGGCCAGGCACTCAGATCCAAGGCAACTCAACAGCAGCTAACAACAATGGACACCTCTCCTTGGTGGCACAGTGGCCTATGCGTTGGACTGTTAACAGCCACGATCAACAGTTCGAAACCACCAGTCTACGCGGGAGAAAGATGCGGCTTTCTACTCCCATAAAGAGTTACAGTCTCAGAAACTCACAGTGACAGTTCTTCGTGGGGAATCAACTCAACGGCAGTGAGCGTTTTCTTGAGAGGTCCCTCCTACCCTTCAAGTCTGTCCCAAGCAGGAAATGAGAACCCCTTGACCACACCTAGCAGCCCGAATGGCAATGCTGTCGCTGCACAGGCAGCTCGGATCCTGTGTCCCGCCCCCGGGAGCTGGTCCACCTTAGCAGGCCTCAGGTTCTTGTGTGTCCATCGCCACACACCTTACCCCACACCCCCTCGGGACAAGCCTCCCCTCACCCACTCCCCCTTCGACCAGTCTTGCTGCAAATATCACAAAGAATGAAAAGTTACTAACAGCTCTGTCCATTCCCAAAGGCTCTTTCTTCATCCAAAGTGACAGGATGTCAAAGTTTTTAACAATCTGAAGAAAGAAA